TGGACGTGATGCGTATATAATGATCATTGCCTGGATATCGTCATGATTATTTGAAGTTCTATCAATTGCCCAATAGTAATTCATTTACCCACCGTTTGCTATTTTTCTCGAGAGAAACCACTAGTGAAACCTACAGCCCCGGGTCTCTTTCTCATATTATTTGCCTTTGCGGTCTATTTTTATTTCACTTTTATTTTCAGAACTATTAAACCAAAAATACTAAAAATACCTTGCTGCAATTTATTCTTATTTATTTTAATTGGTGTTCGATCTATCAATCTACTACAATTTATTCACGTCCGTTTGCTAATTGCTGGCACCGTTACCCGAAAGGGATTGACAACCCCTTTAATACGTCAGGTTGCGAGTATTTATTATTTGTGTGCAGGTGTCATTTACGTGTTGTTGATTGGTTCTCCTACTGGTTCGGTAACCTTGGTTTCATCACTGAGGGAAATACCTACCGTCGTTGTGATGTATCATGCCTTTCTCTTTGGGGAAATACCGGCGTAGTTCAAGCAAACATCATGGGGCTCCACCCTTTGGCTTGGGGAGCAAGACCTCTTTTGGTGTGACTAGGGTTTGGAAGGGTGGCTCACCCCTTGGGGACAGCCCCCTCCTAAGTCATCACCTCCTTATACTATTATAAATAGGTGGGGACAACCCCTCCATACGTATCTGATTTTGCACAGAGCCTGCCCTTTGTCTCTCGCTCCCCCCTCTCTCTCCTCTCCCCCCCCCCTCTCTCTTTATCTCTCTCTCTCTCACACACACACACGAATTGTTCATGCGTCGTTAGGCTCCTCCTCCTCTAGTTCTCTGATGTATCTCTTGTTCTGGATGGCGAAGCTGTGTAGGATGGACGATTTTGTATGCATAGATACCTACAGACGCACTGTATGTTTGGTGCTTGATCTATGGATCAGTTCGAGGTATGAATTCTCGCGGCTGTGAGGTATAACCTAGCTGTGGTAATCTGCATCAAAATGCTCCACCAACTCTTCTCTCCATTGCGCTACATTTGTGAGCAATCTAATCTAGATCCAATCTCACATGTATCTTCATAGTGATCCAGGGATGGTTCGTAGGTGTAGATTTCTTTTCTACTATGTTTCCAAATAGTGGGTAGTTCCAAGATTCCTACTACAAAATTCAAAAGGTTTAGGAAAGGGGTGAAAATCTAGTCTAAAGGGATTTCAAATCTCACTGCTTCAGTTAAAGATGCCAATGCCCTTATCACCCTTTGGGAAACTATTTAGGAATTTAGGAGCCTAACCAATATTGACTGGAATGGCAGAGAGATCATCAAGGAACATCTCAAAAATCTTGTTGTCTAGAGATCATGTTGGAAGCAAAGAGTAACCATTAGATCGATTATAGTGGGCGAGGAGAATTCAAAAAATTTGCAAGCAAATTATGGACACAACAATATCTCTATGATGAAAGATGACACAGATACTGAATATCATGAGCATGAACTCAAAACAATCCTTTTATGGAGAGCCTTTGAATAAAGACTTGGTCAATCACTTCAAACTTCTTTGCTAGATCTGAACTCTCTCATTCAAAAATGTGATGAGATTCAATGTTTAGATATCTTCTTCCCAATAATGAAATTGATGAGGTTATTAGGATGCTTCATGTGGATAATGGGACTGATGGTTTTGATGGGCTTTCATTAAATCTTGTTGGAGCATTATTTTTCATGACTTCCATATAATCACTTAGGACTTTTATCATGAAAGATTAATTTGCAAAGTATCAATGCACTGGACATCACCTTGATTCAAAAAATACACGCCTTTGACTGCAAGTGATTTCAGGTCTATCTCTTTGCTAAATTGCACATGGGAAAACTCTACGCATACTCTGGTGTGAAGGCATTGATCATGGAGAAGCGAGGAAGGACGGGCAAGTCGCTAACAAGGAGCAAGGAACTGCGTGCTTAAGAAGAGTGAAACCCAAGTGTCGTGTAGATTACACAACTTCTAGACACCCGGAGCTCAGGGTTCAAGAGCGCCAAAACTTCAGACTACCTTTGAAATTGCTTGTGGATACCCAAGCTTGCGGACCCTGGAACTATGGCCCTACCGTGGCACCCTCTCTAGACACCCTGGATTCCCCCAACCCCACGGATCTCTGAGATTTTCTATGATAAAATGGTTGGGCTAGGCCCATGGAATCTCACCTACTTCCATACATGTTAGTGGGAAATTATATGCTTCATACCTCCTACACTTTGTAGGGTTAGGAAAGTATTAGAGACTAAACTAAAGAGAAGTGTGCTCGTATATCTCCCCAAGTGGGATCAAGGCCTCCCTCTTGTGGAGAAGCATCTCACCTCCATCTCATCAAATGGGGAAGAACAATCCTACCTTCCTATCGTGTTCCATCAGGAATTTTGAATCAATTGCACCTCTTGCGTTGTCTTTTGAGTTATAAAATGAACCTTGGCTTGTGAATCTTCTCTATCATGTGTTTTCCTCCATGTTTCCCTTGTGTTTTGATTGTGATCTCCCTTTAGTTATTACTCTTCATTGTACCTCAAATCCACCTCCAATTTGTGAAGATCATGTCACTCTACGGCTTGCCGCATACGACAAGTCCCCTGACACTGCGATGAGAGTTTGGCAGCATCTCCTTAATTTCTCAGATCAATGAAATTAAGATTCGCCTGCACGATCAGTCTGCCCGCTCCTCCCTTGAAGGGCATGTTCCCTTTGTCACACATATAGTCATTCAGTGGTGATCACTTTTGAGAATTCGTGTGCCAACACATGAGCAATCATGGAGCTTTAGGCCTATTTCCATTGCAGCACTTGTTAGGTCTAGATTAGCTCACATTCATTGTTTTTTTTGGTTGTCAAAGGGTTTTCCCTTCCTTTTTGTTAATAATCATATTTTTTGGTCACTCACGCTATATTGGCCTTTTTCTTCTTAAGACAATGACGAGCTCCCACGAGTGTTCGAGAAAAAAATATCCATCACGAGAGAAAAATAAACAAGCTATTGGTAATGCAATGTCATCAAAGTGAAGAATGTGCTAAATAATCAAACTCAGGGCCTTGCAAAAGTAATCCCAGTCTGAACTAGCAGATTGACAAGCCTTTTTGTGAGGAATTCTGTATATACCGTTGAGAACTTCCTCATATGCCCAGACACCACTCAAAATTTCCGACATCCAAATATGCCCTTGTTCTTTTGTGGGGTATAGATACATTGCTACCGTGAGTTAAGACGTTTACTATGTACAAGATATATATTGTGTTCATATGTTATCATATTGGCCATTCTACAAGTTAGGTCCATAAATAATAACAAAAGTTGTCTGCCAAATTATAAAGTTCAACCATCTACCGCGTATTCTTGCTTGTGATCATGAGATGTTATTTCTTCATTTAAAACTTTCAAATTTCTGCCAAAATTTGATTGAAAAACTTGACAACTTTGTTCATCTTAAACTATTGCACAAAATTGGCTAAAATTTGACTAGAATAGTAAGGAACACATTTATAATTACTATAAATATTTCATTTTGAGAAGTTTTCCATTTTTTTATCAGAAAATTGCTAATGAAATTTCTCTTAAACTACTGTCCAGGACAGGTGGAAAGATTACCATCATATATACTAAAGACATGATTTATAATTCAATGCACAGTTTTCACACTTTTTTTGTAAACTTATGAAATTTTGACGAAATTTTGTTAAAAAATATATAGCCGATTTTCTCTATAAGTACTGCCTAGTTTTTACTCATCTAAGAAAACTACTAAATATCATTAATATTTGCACTAGTATATTCAATATTTTTTTAATAGTTTCAAGTTGTGGCCAAAGATTGATTTTATCCATTTCCACACAAGCTAAGGCAAAGTGAATAATCGTTCCAACAACCAATTGTACGTCAACCAACGGTAGTGGCATATTTGAATGGTTATCTTGAATGGTATTTGTGCATATCAGCGAGTTCCTTGTGTGTGTTTTTCTATCTCTCCATCTGATGTCTGTTAGCAAACTAATTAATTAGTACTGCTATTAGTACATACTAACATACTACTACGAGTGGAGGACTCAACTCGATAAACAAGGTAAGGATGCAAAATGATGAATGTTATGTTACTCATTTGCATGCCTACAACGAGAGGAGGACTGTACAACTTCATCGGTATTTTCTAGCTTACACCCGCGCCTACTTTCATTGTGCTCAATATTTTTTTTGAAAAAGGAGGCGTGCCTCCGGCCTCTTTATCTGAACGATGCATGGGATTCTTAAACTCGATCTTGCTGGCGATTGGGGTTGGGACCATCGTTTAATAAATCTTCACCTCGCATCATTGGCTCTAAGTGCAAACATTTGATAACATCTCGCAAAAAGAAACGACATAGAATAACATGATGATGCTTACAGCAATTTGACTATAACCGGATAGGCTCCTCCTCCCACCTAACGCTTGTTTATTTACGTGCAAGTCGTGCACACGCAAACGTGCATGATTAGAGATTTAGAGCTCAAGGCCTCCGATGCTGTGGGCATGGACACACACCATGTAGCCAACACAGATCCAGATTGTATACCCGCAAAAAAAATTATCCAAATTGTATGTCTCAAGGCAGAGGGTTTGACTACAGTAGCTACGGACCTCATACCGTGCGCCATGTCCATCCTTAATTTAAACCTAACGCATCAGCATCGCCGTTGGATTATGGGATGTGCTCTTTGGACGGTGTAGATTAGCAACCAGCTCAGATTAAACTACTACTACAAATGATTGTGCAAACACTCACTCTCGTGTTGTTCATCACCGGCTACCACGCACAAATATAGACAGAAACACATGCATGCTCTCTTCGTCCGAAAAAGCTTGTCTCAAACTTGTTCCTCAAATAAATATATGTAGCGCTAATTTGTGCTACTGATACATTTATCTAAGAGACAAGTTTTTTCGACAAATATTTCACAAAAACATCTGCGCTGAGAGAACAAGAACAGCAACTAAGCTATTGGAACAGAGGAATGGCGTCAAAATCCATGAACTCGCAATCGAACGAGCTGTCGCCGAAGTGGTCCCAGTCCAAGCAGCCGGACAGAGAATTCCATGCCGGGGAAGCACAAGAGAAGTCGGCCGACGAACTCAGCTCCGCCGCCGCCGGATCCATCGCGTGTGAGTCCTCCGACGTTGACTCAACTTTGGCCTCTTTCACTTCGAATTCCTCCGGCGAGCACACGGCCTGCGACGAGCCTGAGGCCCCGCTGTCGCTCCTCCGGACGTCGTCGGTGTCGCTGGGCGAGGAGAGCCACGGCGAGCCGCTGCTCGCGGTGGCCGACCCGAAGTTGATGACGAACGGCTGCATCTTGACGCCCTCGGCCTCCAGGACGGCGCCAGCGGCGTCGCCCTGGCAGCAGGTGTGGTCACCGAAGTAGGTGATGACGTAGAGGGAGGGGTCGTCCTCCGCCTGCTGGACCTGCCTCGTCGCCGGGCAGCCGCTGTCGTGCTTGTAGGTGCACCTGAAGTAGAGCCTCGGGTGCCTGTTGTTGTGGATCTCCTTCTGCCCGTACTTCCTCCATATGAACCCGTCCTCCGCCGTCCGCCTCCTCTCGACTCTGGCCGCCTTCTCACCGCCGCTCGCGCGCATCCTGAAGAAAAAAGTAAAGCCGTCCTGTTAAACCAATGCTCGGCCGAAAACCTCAACGCCGGCACGGCGGGCAACACCGCCACGCTCATGTGCAAGTGCAACAGCAGTTTGCTAGCGAGCCTACCTTCTTCTCGGCCTCGTCAGGCTGTCTGCGCCGCCGGGTCCCGACTTCCGCTTCCTGCCGCCGGAGACATCGACCGCGGCGCCTTCGACGGCGTGGAGCGCGGCGAGCGCGCGGTCGCAGCAGCGGAGGATCTCCCCGGCGAGCTCCCGGATCCCGGCATTGTCGGGGGACGACGCGCCCCGGAGCAGGGCCTCGAGGACGGCGGCCGAGTCCCGGCCCTGCACGACCAGCTCGGACACGGTGGGACAACCCGCGGGAGTGACAAGTGCCGCCATCTGTGTGCTGTTCCTCCTTCGCAGCTGAGCTTGGATTGCTTTGTACTTTGGATCTACGCGAGCCCGATGATTGTGCTGTGGCAGCTGCTCTGGATCTAAGCTTTTCGTCCGAGGAGGAGGAGGTGGTGGTGGAGGTCCCGGTGGAAAGGTGGTGTGGATTTATACACGCACGCGGCTGAGCTTGGAATTTGTTTGGATCGACCCTCCTTTGGACAGCGCCAGCTCGAGGAAGCAGCGGCGACCAAGGAGCACATGGCACGTACTACCAACGTACGTACGGTGGTGGTGAGCTCGATCGAGAGAGTGAGGCTCCCTCAACCAAAATCAATTAATTTACCCACGTGCCGTTTCGAATACGCGCGGTTGCTTCCATCATGGATGTACCGCGTCGCATGGCGCGTCGTGCCTCGGCTAAACTAACGAGAGTCGTTGCAGGGGACCAAACGAGGCGTTCACACCTGCACACTTCACAACTATAGCTGATATGTTTGCAATGGCATTTAGCCAGATTGGAGCGCTAGTACTTTGGCCAATTCCAACGCGCGGCTGCATTTGGCCTGTGCCTGTTCGTTTTGGGTCGGAAAAAAAATGCGGTCCAACGCGCCGTCGCAACCAGGTGGGCATCCACTTTCTGCCCGTTCGTGGCCGATTTCTGGCTCAAATTTGAACCGGGTTTGCGTTGAAACAGACAGACCGCAGACATGCGCGACGCCCACCCTTGTCCTCCCTGGCCCGCACGTCGGGGCACAACCTCCCCGGTTTCCTCCTTCTCCCCCAAAACCCTCCCGCCTCACGCCATGGCCACCAAGCCAAAGGACGCCGTCAACGCCATTTCGGCCGCCACCCTCGTCGCGCCCGAAAAGAAGAAGAAGCCCAAGAAGGTGCTCACGCCGGCGGAACTTGCCCGAGAATCGGCGAAGAGGGCTGGTCGTAGGGCCAGTGCGGCCGCCGCCCAGGCCGTCCTCGACGCCGCCACCGAGGATAAACGAGACCCTGGTCACCAAGCCCACACAGACAGCGACACAACACACCCTCCATATGCTAGGGTTTAGCCAACCCACGTCGGCCATTCTTACTACCGCCGCCATGGCCATGGTGAGCACCTGCTCTTCGGTCATTCGCCCTCCACAAGGGTAGTCGTCGTGGTCCTCCACAACATTGCAGATGGGCAATCTCCATCTGACGCACGACCATGGTGTGACCCGCTTTTCCACGTCAACAAACATGTGCGTGATCACGCCGGCCACCCCCGCTGTCGCGGCTAGCATGGACCTCAACGTCACACTAGGGTCCGGCGCCGGCCAGTCGGCCACTAATACGTCTCCAACGTATTTATAATATTTTTATTGTTTCATGCTATTATATTATCAATCTTGGATACTTTATATGCATTTTATGCTATTTTATATCATTTTTGAGAACTACCTATTAACCCAGTGCCTAGAGCAATTTTTTGTTTTCTGCTTGTTTTTGGTTTTCCAGAAAATCAGTACCAAATAAATCCAAATGCTATGAAACTTTTTGGTGATTTTTTGACAAAAGAGACCCTAGAAGCTTCGACAGGAGACCAGAGGACAAACGAGGAGACAAGAAGGCAACAAGGCGCGCCCTATTACCATGCGGGCCAATGTGGCCCCTTCTGACCTAATTCCACTTTAAATTCTCAAATATTGGGAAACCCCCAAAGGGCCACCCAAAACACTTTTTCCCCCACCGCAAACTTCTGTTCTTCTGCGATCCCATCTGCAGGCCTTTTCCGGTACTCTGCCGGAGGGAGAATCGATCACTGAGGGCTTCTACATCATCCTCGCTGCCTTTCGATGATGCATGAGTAGTTCATCACAGACCTACGGGTCCATAGCTAGTAGCTAAATGACTTCTTCTCTCTCTTTCATCTTCAATACAATGTTTTCCTTGATCTTCTTGGAGTTCTATCTGATGTAATCTTCTTTTGCGGTGTGTTTGTTGGGATCCGATGATTTGTGGGTCTATGATCAGATTATTCATTAAAAGTAATTGAGTGTTTTCTAGACTTTTACTATGCATGATTAAGATAACTTTGTATTTCTCTCCCATCTTTCCGTTTGGTTTTGCCAACTAAATTGATTTATCTTTAGTGGGAGAGGTGCTTTGTAGTGGGTTCAATCTTGCGGTGTTCTCACCTAGTGATAGAAGGGGTAGCGAGGCACGTATTGTTTTCTTGCTACTAAGGATAAAACAATGGGGTTTATTGATATTGATTGAGTTTACTTTGTCTACATCATGTCATCTTGCTTAAAGCGTTACTATGTTTGTCATGAACTTAATATCATAGATACATGCTGGATAGCGGTTGACTGGAGTAATAATAGTAGATGCAGATAGTAGTCGGTCTACTTGTCACGGACGTGATGTCTATATGTGTGATCATTGCCATGAATAACATAATAACTATGCGCTTTTCTATCAATTGCCCAACAAAAAATTGTTTACCCAGCGTATGCTATGTGTTCGAGAGAGAAGCCTCTAGTGATAACTATGGCCCCCGGGACTACTTTAATCATATTATAAAATCAAAATACCTTACTGCAATTTATTTAGTTTTATTCTATTTTGCCATTTATCTATCTACTTATATAAGATTTAATCCTTGCAAGTAATGAGTTCAAGGGGATTGACAACCCTCTTGCCCATGTTGGCTGCAAGTATTTTTTTTTGTGTGTGCAGGTGTTGTTCACTGTAGTTTGTGTGATTCTTCTATTGGTTCGATAAATCTTGGTTCTCACTAAGGGAAATACCTATCTCTACTATATTGTTTCACCCTTCCTTTTCGGGGTAAATGCCAACGTATTTCATAAGTAGCAGCCACCGGGATGCAAAAGAAGGGGCCGCGGGCGATTCCTATGGCCAACCTTCCTGACGGCCGCAAGCTATTCGACAGAATGCCCAACCCGATGCAGGGGCAAGATGACCCAGCCTACTTCGACGATATCATGGATAACATCATCTATGAGAGTCGTGGCGAAGCCTTGCACCCGAGGGCCATGGCCAAGCCTTCGATCTCAGAGAGACGCAAAGCCAAGACGACCGCGACCAAGATGATGGTGTCGAAAACATTGGCAGACACAACAACCAAGAAGCGACTGATGACCAAGGTGATCCATGGCATGACGACATGTATTGTGAAGACAGAGAATATGGCGTAGACATTGAGGAGGAGCCATTATTTAATGATTAACTCGCTCTAAAAGCCAATGCACAAAAGAGGAGGCAAAGCATTCAGAGGGGACCATGCACCAAAGCTTAGGACAAGTTAATTTGTGAAGGATAGAAGGAAATAGGGCAAGATCCCAAGACTGGTGCCGAGCAAGAAATGGCCGTTTTTTGGAGGTGAGTTCATGGTTACTTCCATGAATGTAGAAAGTTCTCGCCCTATAAGTTTTCGAGCACCCGTGGCATCAACTCAATCTAAAGAGGTGGGGGTTTATACAACAACAATGCAACAAGTTCTGTCCTACCATCGAAAAAATTAAAGTCGTCCCTTGAGTGGCCTAGGCATGAGCGACATGGTATACAACTTATTCTCTTTGTTCCTATGCCACTTTTTCATGTTTGTTGCATTTTGTGTCCCTCGGTGTTACATTGTGGCCTTCACTTTGATTGTGTAGGCATTCCAAACTTTGGAAGCCTTCAAGGCCCAACATGCGGACAAGCCATTCACCCTCACCCATTGTTGGACGATCATCAAAGATTGCCCCAAGTGTAAAGAGCAATATGTAGCCGAAAAGAAGAATGGAGGGTCGGCGGCCGGCGTTGGGCATGAAGACAGAGTGAAGCGGCCGAGGGGCAAGACCAACTCGAAGTTGGACGAGAAGCGTGATGCGGCATCGTTCGCCTTGCAAGAAACTTTGCAAGACATGGTGGCCCAAAAGGAAGCAAGGGGCGAGAGGAAGCGCCAAGAAAAAGAGGAGAAAATGAAGGCCTACATCGAGCTCCAAACGAAGAAGCTCGAGATGGAGAAGGACATCAAAAGGAGGAAGCTCGAGATTGAGGAGGTCATCCAAATGAAGAAGCTCGAGATTGAGGCGACCCACGCGAACACCAAAGCCAAAGAGATGGCGCTAGCTTTCATTGCGAAGCAGATGGAGATCATGATGGTGGACTTGAGCAAGATGTCCCCGAAGAGAAGAATTTGTTCCAAGAAGAAGCAAAAGATGATGCTCGAGCTAGACGATTGAGCTACGACCAAGAGTGATATCATTGTGTATGTCGGCTTGCGTGTCGGCATGAACTAGAGGGCGCGAGACAAGAACTATGGCCTTTTTGTGCGATGGAAAGTGTGTTGGCGTGAATCTTTATTGTAGGTTGGCATGTGTGTCGGCCGCTGGCGCTCTAGCCGGCATGAACTATGGATGTTTACATGGCTATAGGTGTGGGCTATTTCAGTTTTTATTCCAATTTTCATGGCGGCCGAATGAAATGCGTCCGCCGGTTGAGCGTACCGGCAAAGTTTGGTCAAGGGGACCCAGACAATATCCCTTTGCCCGACCCAAATGAACAGAATCCGAACAAAGCAGACGTCTATTTGGGGTCGCGTGTTGGGGTTAGCCCTAGAGCATCTACAGTCGGGTGCCTCAAACCCGCCTCAAATGCTTGGACGGACGGCCCAGTCATTAACCGGTCAAAAAGAAGCAACCCAATCAGGCGTCTCAAATTGGCCTCAAACACCCGGGCAGACCAACACCCCTCATATCTAGCCCAAATCTATTGCGGATATGGAGAAGCCCGGGCATGTCCATCATGTCGGATCTGGCCCATGCTAGTCCACCGCAACCCCACATATATTCATCCCCATCCGCTCCCCGGACCAAACCCTAGCAACTTCACTCCCCTCCGCGGACCAAACCCTAGCAAACTCCGGCTTCTCCGGCATGGCGAGCAGCGGATTCGATTCCTCTGTCAGCCGATCTACAAACTTGGACCTCATCCCAGTCGGGCCAGAGGAGGCGATGTTCATTCGC